GTGTGTGTGTGTGTGTGTGTGTGTGTGTGTGTGTGTGTGTGTGTGTGTGTGTGTGTGTGTGTGTGTGTGTACCTCTTGGGCCTCTCGTTCAGGCTGGTGCTGCGTGCTCTGAAACTGCTCTGCTCGTGTGTGTCGTCAAACGGCAGGAGAGCGTTAGAACGAAGACCCTGAAGACAAAAAAAACAGTAGCTAAGTTTCCATCCAAAGATGCAAATTAGATTGACTGAAATATGGCACAAAACATTTGTGAATAAAGCAGCGTTTGAATCCAATGAGTCAAAGAAAACAAAATGTTCACTGGAGCCAAATATCAGATAGAAATATGTAGTTTTGTGTGATAGGAGAAGCCTCTGTGGACTTCTTTTCTGATATAACAAACAAGTTGTGCCTCTGAAGATGAAATGTAATGAGCGCGCTGCCGTGTTGGAGGCGTGAGACGCTCTTTGGGAGTGCAGACAGACGCTCAAGACAGTTTTGGAGGGAATAATAATATATTATTAATAATAATAATAATAATAATAATAATAATACTGAACCACTGTGATGACAGACTTTGGCTGAGGGATTTTAGAAAGAGCAAAAGCGACATTTCAGATGTTTTATGTGCTGTAAGCGCTGTTTTGTCCATTAATGCGAATCATGTATCATCATATGATCTGTTAAAGCAAAATCATGTGACTTCACTGCTGCACATGCTGGAATGTATTTGGTAAATGTGTTTGCATCGTAGTTTCTGCACAGTTTCTCTAAGCCCTGCTCCCATTGTGATGGGTCAGCTGAGAAAAATTTGGGCAATCCTAAAAGATTACAGAAATCTTAGGCTAGAATCTGTGATCTTTGATTGTTGGTTTGACAGACAGCCGCTTAATGGCTGTTGTGATCAGATTGGCAGGTTCTGAAGACTTCAGAGTCTAACAGAAGCGCAGAGTCTGATGAAGCAATCAGTCCGACAACAAGTGTTGGACAGTAATGTAGCTACAAGTAGTCACGCTACCAGCTTAACTACATTTCTCAGTAGCGTGGCAGTAGCGTCGCTACTTTCTAAATCAAATAGCTTTTCAGTAGCAAAGCTATTTTATTAGTCAAGTAGCGCAGTAGCCAATCGCGGATCAATAAGTGACGGCACAGACATTCACGGAGCTGTGAGGCCGGTGTCTAGCCGATGAAAGTAAATCCATATGATGGCAAGAATGATGATTTTTTTCTTCTTTCGGTTTTACGTTGTTTGACAACAAGGTTTTTGGTGCATAACTGCCACCCCTGGTTGGCAACGTCGCGAACAGAAACTTGCTTGATGGAAAGATGACTGAGGGAGAGGAGATATTTCTGAAGCAAGATTCCTCGTGACCTTAACTCGAGAAGTACATGTTACGATGCAACAACTTAATTTCTGATGCTGTGCTCAAAAAAAAACTTTAGTATATATTTTTATATATAATATATATGTGTGTGTGTGTGTGTGTGTGTGTGTGTGTGTGTGTGTGTATGTATATATATATATACACACACACACACACACACACACACACACACGCACAACATAATGCTTATTCCAAATTATTTACCTTATAAATGAATTTTAAATACTATAAATGACTGTAGTATTTTAAATGTGTAACACCTGGTTTTATTTGATTTTTTGTTTTTGCTGTTATATACTATAATGTGTTTCTGTTTAGTACAGTATATTATTTACAGTAAATAACTGAACTAAACTATTTTGCCTTATGTTTTATTGAGTTTTATTAATCACTAAGATATGATTGAGTTGGATTTAAGTTGCTTCGATTTAAAAATGAAAATTGTAAAAATAGCTTAGATGTAGCTAAGCTACTTTTGCCATGTAGCTTTTAGCTTAGCTTGCTACATTTTCCAGGGGGTGACCTTTATTGTTATTAAGCTACATTTTAAGTAGAGTAGCTAATAGCTTAGTTCACTCCATATTTTAAATAGCTTTAAACCACCGCAGGGAAATGTCAAAGCTTTTTTATTCCTGGTTTTAATATTGTGTGCAAAAGTACCACAACAGACAGTTTTTGTTTGCTGTAAGGAATCATTTTAGAATCCAGGATAGCGAAAGTGTCACGAATGGATGACGTCAAACTTCAGGTAACTTTACTTTCGTGTTTGGCGCGTCCTCATTGTTATTCAGTCTGACATTATGACAGCTGAGATCTTACGTTGTGACATGGGAGACATGTTCGTGCAGTCTGACATGCTACGATCATTTAGGATTTTTTTTTTAATTATGCTACGATCATTCAGGATAATTTAAAAAAAAATTACAGTAATAAAAATGTATTAATTTAAATAAATAAATAATCACACAGTGCCACGCTTTATCCAATAAAAAGTTCATTCACTCATTTGTGCACATTTTTTTTTCATGTGCATTTTCACAATGTATGCACATCTTAGCGTTAACCATATGCTTTTTAACGCAATATTGCAAAATAAAAATCAGTGAAAGGAAACATAGCTAAAGTTAGACAAACCCACCAGACGAAGTAGAGGAGAGGGCGATCTCTCACCTTGGTGATGTACTGAACAAAATCTTTCCTGAAAGGCAGTCGGCAGCGGATGAACCACATGGCGATCACATGATGAGCCAGAGACACTATGTACTGATTAAACCTGCAGAGAGAACAAAAAAAAAAAACACATGGTTCAATAACAGAGAGAGAGAGAGAAAGAGATCATCCTCTAAACACACTGGTATCTGAGCTACTGGAAAAAGCACAAACCGAACCCGTCCCCAAACAAAACCTTCACAAACAAATTGACAAAACATTAAAATATAACTATGATGAAAAACTGAAAACTGAACTCAACCTCCAGACTAAACTTAAATGTTATTCGGCCCTAAATAGAACCACACAGTTGGCAAATTATTTATCATTAAAACAATTAAAAGAAAAGCACATTCTTTCTAAATATCGCCTCTGTGATCATGACCTAGAAATAGCAAAAGGCAGACATAAAAAATCCTGGACTCCTGAGGAAAAGAGAACATGTAAACAGTGTGACACAAACCAAATAGAGGATGAGACACACTTCCTTCTGTTCTGCCCCAAATACACCACGACTAGAGAAATATTTTTCCCCCAATTTGAAACATTGATCAGTTCATTTTTTAATTTAAATGACTCAGAAAAACTTTACCATATACTCGGAGAGGATGAATTGACATTTGAACTGGCTGCAAAATATGTATATACCCTACACACCATAAGAAATGGTTAATGTAAATTTGTGTCTTATTTAAATAATTTAAACTTTTTACAATCATTATTATTATATTTATCAAATGTATTGTATTTTTTTTTGTGTGTGTGTGTCATTATATCTTATCTGTATTACTATTAGTTATTATTTTTCAATGGTTTTAATATGTTTCATATTTGAAATGCTTTGGCAATACTGTATTTAATGTCATGCCAATAAAGCAACTTGAACTGAACTGAACTGAAAACTGAGAGAGAGAGAGAGAGAGAGAGAGAGAGAGAGAAATAGATAGATAGATAGATAGATAGATAGATAGATAGATAGATAGATAGATAGATAGATAGATAGATATTTTATGTATCTTATTTAAATAATCTAGATTTTTATTATTATTATATATTTATCAAATATATTATCTGTTTGTTTGTTTGTTTTTTTGTCATTTATGTCTTACTGTATTATTATAATTTTAATTTTAATTATAATTTTAAAAAAATTATTAAATTTTTTAATATCATTATTTGATGATTTTAATAAATTACATACTTGAAGTGGCAATACTGTATTGAATGTCATGCCAATAAAGCAACTTGATCTTGAAGAGAGAAAGAGAGAGAGAGAGAGAGAGAGAGAGAGAGAGAGAGAGAGAGAGAGATGGATGGAGAGATGGAGATCGTTTATTATTATTATTGTAATATTACTTAATCACGGTTGCCATTGTAAAATGCTCTATTTAAGTGAAAACATTACAAATACATTAGCAATACCAAAATATTACATGGTAACATTGTAAAATGTTTACAGCAAGTGTGTTTGTGTAATCTGTACATGCGCATACTTACTTTGAAGGATTGGTGTACGGCAGCGATATGGCAAACACGCTAACATACTGCTCAGCTACGAAGTTAGCATACAGATGTGGGAGCCGCACTAATGCTGCAGACGAGAAAAAGAGAGATCTGACATTAGAAAATACATCACCTATGTTCTGATTGGTCAGAGTGAGGGATTGGTCAGAATGTGTGAGCGAGTCTGTTCCGATTGGTCAGACTGACTGAGTGAGCTCGTTCTGATTGGTCAGAGAGCGTTATTGTCAAGAGTGAGCAATTAAGTGAGCCCGTTCTGATTGGTCAAAGTAAATGAGTGAATCGCTTCTAATTGGTCACATTGACTGAGTGAGCCCGTTCTGATTGGTCAAAGTAAATGAGTATCTACTGATTGATCTGACTGACTGAGTGACCCTGGTCTCATTGGTCAGAGTAAATAAGTGTGTGAGTGTCTTCTGATTGGTCAGACTGGCTGAGTGACCCTGGTCTGATTGGTCAGAGTAAATAAGTGTGTGAGTGTCTTCTGATTGGTCAGACTGGCTGAGTGACCCTGGTCTGATTGGTCAGAGTAAATAAGTGTGTGAGTATCTACTGATTGGTCAGGCTGACTGAGTGAGCCTGGTCTGATTGGTCAGAGTAAATAAGTGTGTGAGTATCTACTGATTGGTCAGACTGACTGAGTGAGCCTGGTCTGATTGGTCAGAGTAAATAAGCGTTTGATTGTCTTCTGATTGGTCAGACTGAGTGAGTAAGCTGGTTCTGATTGGTCAGAGTATACGAGCGAGTGAGTGAGTGAGAGAGGCCATTCTGATTGGTCAGACTGGATCTGGTCTGAATGGTCAGACTGACCAAGTGAGTCCATCGTGATTGGTCAGAGTAAAGGTAAAGTAAACAAGTAAAGGTTTCCACTTACTGGACAGGAACTCCAGCATGGGTGAGGCCATGGCAACGGTTGCCGAGATGTGCGTGAGCTTGACGATAAGGGCGGGCAGTAGTTTGATCATGATGTCGGGCATCTCCACTGTGCACATTGTCAGGGCCACCACACACTGCTTGGCACAGCGGTAGATCAGACCCTTCTCCAGACACTGCACCAGGTCCCTCTGACAGAGAGAAAACTCTACATCAGCACATTTATTCAACGACTCTCCTGCTTTTTATATTATTGTTTATTTATTAAAAAATACCATTATTCACTCAAATCATTCAAAATTGTCCAGAGAGCAGATATCAAACTAAATTATTTTAATCTAAAACCCATTTAAATAAACATCTACTAAATAAAAAAGCAATAATGCATCAACTTTAGTGACTCCATTGAAGAAATCCTAAACAATTCAAAATGATTTAAAAATACTGCACACTTTAGCCTTTTTATTGCAGGAGAGTGAATTTATTATTCTAAATATTAAATTATGAATTAATTAATTAATTAGAGTATATTTAGTAGTAGATGTTATTTCAATTAAATGTCACATATTTAAATGTAATGCTACATTCATATATATATATATATATATATATATATATATATATATATATATATATATATATATATATACATACATATACTCACATTTATATTCATATATTTATATTCATATATATATTCATATATATACTCACATTTATATTTCATTGAAATATAATATATATGATTTCAATGCGTCCGAAATCGCATACTTCCACACTAAATAGTACACTAAAATCCGTATGCGAGCCGAGTGGTATGTCCGAATTCATAGAATTCGAAAATCATTATGCGAGAAGTACCCGGATGACTTACTACTTCCAGCAAAATGCTGAAGTGCGCATCCTATGATGCCCTGCAAGAGAATTCATCAATGGGAGTGAACTGACTCAGATAGGTCATGTGACCATGACAAAATGGCGGATATAGTACATCCGTATTCCATTCATACTTATCACATTCATACTGTATAGGACGTACTTTTCTGATGGCTGAGTATTACGTTTAAATTCAAATGCAGTACATACTGAGTAGTAGGCAGTTTCGGACGCAGCCTATATCATTAACTGTGATTTGAAGGTTTAATTTAAATGTAATAATACGTTTATATTTATTTATAATTATTGTCAATTAACATTTCCTTGCAATCTAGAGTTGCAGTTTTTAATTAAAATGTATATTTTATTTACGTTTACATCATTTAATCCTTAAAAATTCCCTCTGACGGTTAAAAGTTTATTGAATACTTTTTTTTTTTATTCAATTAAATTTTTTATTCGATTTTAAATCAATTTACATAAAATTTCCTCCGGTTGCTCCGGTTTCCCCCACAGTCCAAACACATATAGGTGAATTGAATAAACCAAATTGGCCGTAGTGTGTGTGAATGAGTGAGTATGGGGTGTTTCCCAGTACTGGTTGCAGCTGGAAGGGTATCCGCTGTGTGAAACATATGCTGGTTGGTGTTTCATTCTGCTGTGGCGACCACTGATTAATAAAGGGACTAAGCCAAAGGAAAATATTACCTTTCGATAGGACAGATTGGAGTATTTATAAGAAAGCATAAGGAGCAGAGAGGATCAGCATAGGACCTTGAGGCGGGAATCAAACTCAGGTCGCTGTGTGCACGTGTCAACACTCCAACCACTACACCATTGGCGCCAACAATTAGGTGTTTTTTTTTTTAATAACAACATTTAATAACACCATCTTTACGTAGACAGCTAGCGTTACCTGTCGGAGCTGATCCAGATAGCTGTGGTAGGACGTGATGGCCGTGAGAACAGGAACCACAGCGAGCTGAACGTCAGTGAGGGAAAATCCATCAGGGGTTTTCTTCAGACGCTCCAAAATAATGCGGTCCGTCACCTGAACAGGAAGTTCATTAAAGAGTCACATTTATTAGGGGTTTAAACACAGTTGTGAGGCAACAGTGTGTTAAAAGCAAGCTTTTAATTGTGAAAAAATAATTAATTCTATGTTTATAATCACTCTTGATAAATATGACATTTTGATTGACATTCTCCATTTGTACGTGTCATCAGAGGGGGAAAGTCCCGCCCACTAGTGACCATCTCTCCCTCATTAGCATAAACAGCAGCCCTGAGTGAGAAGCAGGGAAATTGTAGCTCCGCCCTCTTTTGAAAAGAGCACAATCTCATTTGAATTTAAAGCGACAGTCACCAAAATGACACAATATGGATTAAAGCCTAAAAAGGTTAGAGAGTTATAAAACCTTATTTGTGTGATATTTTGAGCGCAAACTTTCCACACACACACTCTTAGGACACACAATCTTATCTGACATCTTGTAAAGCTTCAAACCCCTTTAAACTCAGTGACTGTGTGTGTTTCTGTTGTTTGTGTATGTGTGGGTGCGCGCGTGTGTACCATCGAGCAGAGCGTTGCGCACAGATTATCAATGTTACATGGAGACGTCAGGATCAGCACTTTATACTGGATGGTGCAGGACATCTTATCCAGAACCAGCTTCAGGACCTTCCAGTCGGTCTCCTGAAACACAAACACGCAGAGCTGCTAGCATGCGCAGGCTTATGTGAGGATACATGTGGATACAGACAGCTGGTTGTTCTCTAGTTAGTAACAGTGGTGCATTTAAAGGGAACACGGCCTAAGCTTTGTGTGTGTGTGTGTAGCCTGAAGTTTGTGTACTGGTAAGTGTGTATGTTTGTATGCATGTGTACGTAGATTTATGTGGTTTATAAAGGCACAAAATTGTATAATGACATGGGTCTGACCTAGTTGTACTCTATTAAGGTGGTTTATGAGGACATGGCAAACACTTAAAAATCATATTAATTAGGTCTGTTTACATT